AATTTCATTTTGATTGTGTAGGAAAATGTGGATGATGCAATTGGAAATGGTGGCCACAAATGAATTTGACCTATTGACGCGAATGATGAAGATTTTTTGAACGATTGTGACGTTTATTGTTATAAATACATTCGATTTTGAATAGTTCATTGCTAGTGAACTTCTTGAAGTAGTAGTGCTTTATTAGTATGGGTACAGTACTATGCAAATTATATTTTTTGTTGAAGTTTATTTCAAGTATATGCATTTGAATTATTTTTATCATGTTACTTATTATTTAATTGATGCTTGAGATCATAATGTATATACTTGAAATAAATGTGAAAAATAATTTCTTAACCACACAATTGTGGCAAATATAAATATTTTAAAAATTATTTCATACTATAGACAATTGCCACGCTTAGAAAATGTGACCATAGAGACTGGAAATTTGATGCCATGCTTGATCACTGTTGCTTTAGAAGTCACACTCTAAAAGTGTGGTCTATAAAGCAACAAAGACCACACTTCAAAATTGTAGCTCTACATCATAAAAGTGTGGTTATAGAGGAAATATAAAGTGTAGCTTTTTAAGTGCATCGGCCACACTTTTGAAGCGTGGATCCTACAGCAACATGTAAAAAGCATGGCCATAAGTCAAAGGTTACGGTACTTTTGGCCACCCCTAAAATAGCCTAAAGTCGTAAAGTGTTGCCTTTGATCTAATGCTACACTTCTTGACATCTTAGGCCACACTTTTCAGGGGTGGCTGGAGCCCTTAAATGTTGTAGTGTTTATGTTTAAAATAAATCTCCTATGTGTAAAAAAAAAAAAAGGTTAAATTATAAAAGTAAAAACAAGCTTGTAAAGAGCCAAAAACTCAATTGACCCTGATAAGGAAGTTATAGTAATCATACACTAATTGAATATTATCGTCAATTAATGGTTAACGTCATCACCTGGTCGAACATTATGAGGACAAGAAGGTGAGAACTTAGACATATTTCCCAAAATTCCATAACCATTTACCAAAAAAGTTTTTCAATTACTATTCTTTCCATTCATTTTTACTTGGTACGTTTTGATTTTTTACGTCCCTTAAGAAATATTTTCTCCGTTCACTTTTATTTGGCACATTTTGACTTTTCACGCCCTTAAGAAATAATAAATGAAGTGCATAATTTACCATGATACTCATATTAATTGATACATATTTTATTGAATTTGATAAAATGATTTGAAATGAGTAATAAATATTGTGGGTATAACAGGAAAAAAAATTGTCTTCTTTTAATATGCGTAAAGTAACAAATAAAAATAAAAATTTATTTTTAGTATATATGCCCGGCAGAGGTGAACGGAGGGAGTAATAAACTTCCTACGATGAGTCACATTTCTCTGATAAGTCGGCAACTCCCAGAATTTCTAAAAGTAGGAAACTACTTTGTTTGACCCAAGTCTGAACCTACTTTAAGAACACATTATTGGAAGCCAACTACTCCCATTATATAACAAGATACTGTCTGTAATGTTATCACGTATATCCTCACTTCATGTACTATATTTCCGTTTTTTTTTTTACATTTCTGTATTAGTTAATGGATTTATCTAGTAATGTATGGTTATTATTCTAAACCAATAGGATTTGAGTTAGTATATACATTGACAATGTAAAAATAATATTTTTTTTACGTATAATTACCTCATACTCGAACTACTATATTTCCCTTACACTCGACCTAATCGTGTAAATTGTTTTCACACCATCCTAAACTCCAAACAGTAATACTCCAATAAAGCATAATATATTGTACGGGAAATGCAGTCTTAGTTTGGTATAACAAGTGGTGCTGATGCTGTTTCTATGTTTATTGCACAACTACTCAAAGAGTGCACAAAGTGACACAACTCAGGCCACATGTGTGTACACAACATGGTTAAAAATGGAGTACAAGAGTACAACATGCATAACAAAATATGAGATGCTCATTAATTTAAAGAGAAAAAATTAGAGATAGTAGCATCATTGTTACAAAAACATCCACACAAAAAATAACTTAAAATACCAGTCATAGAAATACCCAAAAAAAGACTAAGGTAGGACAGACATCATTCAACTGAACACTGGGAAATGAACTGTTTAAGGAGCACTAGAAGGGAGAGTGAAGGATGAGGAGGCAAGGGTTCTGAGAAAAATGTCCATTCGAGCATTTGCAGATACTTGCTTGTTAATCAGTCGCTCTTTCAGGTCCTCGACCTGTTTCCTGAGATCTGCATTTTCTGTGGTCAGGCGAGCAACCTCTGTGCCTTGTGCACTGCCAGAACCAGGTGCCCCATTGGCCTGACTAAGCTGCCCTTCAAGAATGGCATTTCATGCCTTCAATCTCTTTATCTCTTCATTTGCAGCATTCTGAGCATCAATCAATTGAGAAATAGTCGAATTGCTACCAACACCCCCTTTCTTGTCAGTGCACTCACATTCCTCCAAGGTTGTCTTTGTGAAAGTTTGCTTGCGATTTTCCACTGTTGCTTTTCCCAAAGGGACTTGAAGAAGTTAAACACCTTAGTGAGCAAGAACCAATAAGGCAAGCCATGATTTCTGTCCTTGAAGCCTACCACTTTCTTCATATGTTCAATCATAAGACCAAGTAGATTGATGGTGGTGTAGGCATCAAGGGCTTCATGAGGAGCATGTCTGCTTTTGAAGTAATAGAATGCCTTTCTGCGTTTGGAAGCAAGACCTTATTTACTATTTCAAACAGAAGTTGATACATTGGAATGAGGGCCTTCTTGTGCACATGTTCCCCCTACTGCACAACATCATCATTCAGAATGGCTCTTTTAAAGATAGGAGAACATGTCTCTTTAATGTATGAGAGTCCTTCAGTAGGCACTCCCAACATACTCCCTAGAACAGCCTTGTCCATCACGAAACCTACGCCATTAACCTTCAAGCAAATGTTTTCATCCTCCATTGTAACATATCTGCCTAGAAGCTACAAGTTTCTTCCTCGTACACCTTGGGTATCTCATTGGTGAACAAATGAGTCCACTTCTAAAACTCACAAATGTCAAACAGTTGTCTCATCCTTGACATCTCGAGAATGTCAGTTTCAAAAGTTCTGCCCCATAGCACCCTCTGTTTCCTAAGGTTTTCTCTGCCTTCATCCTTTGACACGGTCACTTTGGCCTTCTTGGAGGAACCAGGTTCCTCATTATCACTAGCCTTCCTCTTCATCGAATTCCTTATGTTTTTCTCCTTCTTTTCAAACTTATCACAAGATTACTCACCACACTTCTCTCCCTCGACACTTTTCACCTCTACAGCTTTCACGGATGACCCTCTTCCAGGCTTTGGAATCATAGGTTTCTTAGAATATTTAAGAGTTAAGGAAGCAGGTTCCTCATTCACCTCCAAAATTGTATCAGAAGTTGTAGGAAGAACATTATCTGTCGGAGTGGAAATATTCAAATCAAAGCTTGGAGACGCTACTGCTGATACTTCACCACTTCCAACCACATCTTGTTGAGTTTCAGAGATTTCCTCAACCTTCTGACTGGAGACCTCTTCTCCATCGTCTCCATCTACTGTTTCTTTATCTGCCATTTTTTTCCAACGAGGCAGAGGGAGAGGTTGTAGCAACGAATCTTTTGGGGTTCTGAGTCTTATGACTGTGGTGAGAACCAGAACTCGATTGGATTAGAGAAGAGCCAGTATGTGGTTGTTGGTCTGGTGTGAGGTTTTGACTAGGTGACGGTTGAGACGTAGACGCACACTCCTATGCTTCGTAAGACAAAGACACAGTAGGGATGACACTGGTAGTGCTTGAAAGCTCTGGATTCTGAGATATAATGGAGTTTGGAAGTAGAGATACGAGAAAGAGAGGTTTTGCTTTTGAAAGAGAAGAGAATTTTGTGGCTTTGATGTGGATGGTTGGGAAAGAGACATTTTCTTGGGGTTATTTAGAGGGAGTGAGGGATCAGTTACAAAAGGGTGTAACGTATTGGGTAGACGGGTCGGTTACAAGCGGGTGTGACGTTTGGGTTTTAAATAGGTGAGAGAGAGAGAGAGAGAAAGAGAGAGAGAGAGACGGAAACATTTAATGACATGGTACTTTTGTAGCCGTTTAAAGTGTGCATGAGTATAAAAGGAGCTACTAACCTGAGTCAAGGGAACCAGGTTCCCTGACTGAGTTTTGTAAATGAGAGCTTCATCTTTTTACCCAGATGCAAGGTTATTGGCTGCTTGTTTACTCTGTAATTTCCATGCGTGTTTAACGGTAATGGTATAGAGATGAGTTAAAATTTGCCAGAAAACACTTTTTAGTATTTTTACCTGTTCATTCTTTCATAGTCAATCATTGAGGGACCTAGTACTAAGTTGATTTTATCAGCCCCAATGCTAGTCGATTATTTTCAAAGTGCTATCTACTTAATAGTTTGGTGAAGATATCTGCTACCTGGTCCTCTGTTTTGCAGAACTTCATGCAGATGAGGCTCTTTTGAACATTAACCCAGAGAAAAATGATGTTGCACATCAATGTGCTTTGATCGCTTATGCTGAACCGGGGTCTTTGCCATGTTGAAAGCACTTGTGTTATCATACATTAGTGGCACACAATCCGAAAACACACCAAAGTCCTCCAGTTGTTGCTTGATCCACAATAGTTGAGCACAACAAAAGGCAACTGCCACATATTCAGCTTTTGCAGTTGAAAGAGCCATAGAGTTTTGTTTCTTTATACCCTATGAGATTAAGCATGACCCTAGAAGGTGAGCCATAACAGATGTGCTCTTTTTATCCACTAGATAACCAGCATAATCAGCATCAACATACCCAATTTAGCCGATAAATTATCTCTTGAAAGATAGTAGAGAACCAGGTCATGCGTTCCTTTGAGATACCTTAGAATCCTTTTGGTAGCTTTCAGATGAGATTCCTTTGGACTGGATTGAAATCTAGCACATAATCCCACACTGAATACAATATCTGGTCTACTAGTTGTGAGATATAAGAGTGGACCAATGATGCCTCTGTACATAGTTTCGTTCACAGGAGAACCAGGTTCATCCATGTCTAGACGAGTGACAGTGGTAATACTTATATGGGGGAGTATACAAAAATTAAAACTCAAAAAGAGAAAAATTGACATATACTACTTTTTTTTCCCTATAAACTATTTAAAAGGTCAAATGTGACCATATATGCATTTTTACTACAAACTTTTTTGAGTTTAGTGACTTGATACAAGAAACCTAGGCAGACCTACTTTATAACCAAAGTTCTTGACATCCTCTTGGACTTGTTGTCTGAATTCTCTAAACGTGAATCTTCTATAAACAGGAGGCTCAAAACAACTCCGTATTTCAGTGTCATAGGATGGACACAAGAAAAATGCAGTTGAGAATCTCTCTTTTGCTTTATTAGTAACAACTCTGTGCTCTACACTTTTATACACACCATTGCTCCAGGCCTGCATTAGGAAACTTGAGTGAATATTTTAACAGAAGATTCCCATTGACTTAATGCTGAAGAGACGTGGAATTCTTAGTATGTTTATCTTCAATCTTCATTGCTCAAGAAAGTCAAAATGGGTTACTGATGTCAAAGTATTTGAAAGGAACTTCTAATGAGTTTAACCTCCAAATCTAACAGTAATTCTTTTTACATCATCGTGTTCAAATGGCCTACATCAATAATTAGTTCAATAATAAGCCTAATTCGGTAATACAATAACTACATGAATACCTCAGTCCCAAACAAATGGGAGTCAACTACATAAATCCTCAATTGACAAGATTCTCCATTTAAAACCATCTCAAGCCAACGTTGCATAGAATAAAATTTAAGAGTACTAGAAGATCTTTATATTACTACTGCATAAATCTCTAATAGAGCTAAAAGGCTTCCAGAATAAAATCTAAAGTAAACATTCTAACATAACTAAAACATATTCCCAACATGACTAATAAGCCATGGTCTTATATATGTATAAAATAAAATAAATGACATGTTATAACAAGTTAAAATGCATCGAAGTCCATGCATATAAGTAAAATTAATTTTTAATTACCTGAAACAAATCTCCAATGTTGATGATAAGTGCTTGAGGATTGGGCTTAACAGAGATCCATTTCCCATCTCTTACTAACTGCAACCCTCCAATCNTCCCTATAAACTATTTAAAAGGTCAAATGTGACCATATATGCATTTTTACTACAAACTTTTTTGAGTTTAGTGACTTGATACAAGAAACCTAGGCAGACCTACTTTATAACCAAAGTTCTTGACATCCTCTTGGACTTGTTGTCTGAATTCTCTAAACGTGAATCTTCTATAAACAGGAGGCTCAAAACAACTCCGTATTTCAGTGTCATAGGATGGACACAAGAAAAATGCAGTTGAGAATCTCTCTTTTGCTTTATTAGTAACAACTCTGTGCTCTACACTTTTATACACACCATTGCTCCAGGCCTGCATTAGGAAACTTGAGTAAATATTTTAACAGAAGATTCCCATTGACTTAATGCCGAAGAGACGTGGAATTCTTAGTATGTTTATCTTCAATCTTCATTGCTCAAGAAAGTCAAAATGGGTTACTGATGTCAAAGTATTTGAAAGGAACATCTAATGAGTTTAACCTCCAAATTTAACAGTAATTCTTTTTACATCATCGTGTTCAAATGGCCTACATCAATAATTAGTTCAATATAATAAGCCTAATTCGGTAATACAATAACTACATGAATACCTCAGTCCCAAACAAATGGGAGTCAACTACATAAATCCTCAATTGACAAGATTCTCCATTTAAAACCATCTCAAGCCAACGTTGCATAGAATAAAATTTAAGAGTACTAAAAGATCTTTATATTACTACTGCATAAATCTCTAATAGAGCTAAAAGGCTTCCAGAATAAAATCTAAAGTAAACATTCTAACATAACTAAAACATATTCCCAACATGACTAATAAGCCATGGTCTTATATATGTATAAAATAAAATAAATGACATGTTATAACAAGTTAAAATGCATCGAAATCAATGCATATAAGTAAAATTAATTTTTAATTACCTGAAACAAATCTCCAATGTTGATGATAAGTGCTTGAGGATTGGGCTTAACAGAGATCCATTTTCCATCTCTTATTAACTGCAACCCTCCAATTTCATCTTGGTGCAATATTGTGAGGAAGTCACTATCAGTGTGTGGCATTAATCCAAAGACTTGTGGGGAAAGAGGGCATGCTGGATATCTATTCATCCGAAGGTAACAAGTATTTGGCAAACATGTTTCTCTGAAATATTTCGACTTATATCCCATTTTCTCCGACAATATTCTTGCTAATTTATGTGCTAATTCAGACAATGTTGTCGCAAACTGTTCCATTGTGGTGCTGAGTTGATCAAAGGAGAAAAAAAGGTAAAGCTTAGAATCCAAGGCATTGATTTATCAATTCACAACATCAATATCAATATCAAGCAAACAGTGAGAGGTTTAATTATATGCACTGATCACTACAAGAAAATCGCGTATTATATGGAGATTTTTCTGGGGATTACATAGAAAAAAAAAATTCGATGGAAAAACCTTCGTGGGTAATTATTACCTGCGAAATTTATAAATCCCCAGATAACGTACCTGAGGATTTTTTAAATCCGTATGTAAATTATCTGGGATTTTAAATCTGCATGTAAATTACTTGCGGATTTTTTCGTAAAAAATTCTAAAATTTCACATGAAACTTTTGGTAAAACTTTTATGAAAGTTATGAGTTTTCGCGAATTTTCATAGGGAAATATCTACAAGAACCCCATGAAAATTCCAAATAAATTTTTAGAACCTTTTTAGACAATAAATTGATTTGTTGTCGAAGAATTTTATTATTCAAATTAATTTTTATTTAACGCAACTCCTCACATATTATATGTTTTGTATACGAAACCAACCCACAATGTTATTTTATTTTGAGGCTTCTAGTAGCGAAGCTCGTGGCAATGGACGAAAGTGTTGGGCTTATAAAGTGGAGAATCTCACCTCTCTTGGCCGATGTGGGACTACGCTGTCTAAGTCTCTCCCAACTTGCTACAATTTTAATGTTTCCTTCTTATATTTTTTTGTTGTTTTGAAAATAGATGCATTAATTATATTACTTTTAATCTAAAAATATTCTTAGTTACTATTTATATTCCTGGAATACCACATTAATTTCCCTTTTATATAAAAAATATATTAATTACTGAGAATTATTACACATGAAAATTAGTAAGAACTGTTTTGTTAATCCTATATATGCAAGATTAATTTATTTTAATAATATACGAAGTTAATCAAATGTAGAAAGTAGAATTATACGATCACTTGATATTAAGTTTCAATACTAACAGGTGACATCTACAACTAATTTTATTTTGTACATATTATAATTAAATTTTATCATTTTATAAAGTAGAATTATATGATCACTTGATATTAAGTTTCAATACTGACAAGTGATACCTACAACTAATATTATTTTATACATATTATAATTAAATTTTATCATTTAAAAATAGAATTATATGATCACTTGATATTAAGTTTCAATACTGACATCTACAACTAATAGCATTTTATACATATTACAATTAAATTTTATCATTTTAAATACATGTTAGAAATTGACATACATAATATAAAAAGTTAATTAAAGTTAGTTATATTTTTATAAATGTAACATAAATTTTTTATACTTAGAAATTAAACTTAAATTGTGCACTTATGCACAATTTAGTATATTTTCTGATAATATTAGACGAAGATGCTAGATATAGTCGTATCTTAGTTTTGTTATATCTTTTTATATCAACCATATTAAAATTTAATTCTTAAAATAACTAAATTTATGAAAATTATTTGTTATTGAATTTGTTCAAAAAAGTAATGATTGACTGTATTATGCTATATGACTTGTAATGTTCAATCCGAACATATATACAACATTAGTTTCATAATTCTAACTATACATCGGAAAAAATAAGATATGTAAGATAGAAAATTAATAAAATTAGTTATATATATATATCTTAATTTTTTTCTGCTTAGAAACTAAACTTAAATTGCTCATTTATACGCAATTTAGTATATTTTTTTAATGATATTAGCTTTATTACATCCTTTATATCAATCATATCATCGTAATTCTTAAAATAACTAGAGTTATGATAATTATTTTTTATGAATTTGTTCAAACTTAATAACTAATTATATTATGCTCAATAACTTGTAATATTCAATCCAACATATATGATATAATTAGTTAGAAAGTTAATAAAAATTAGTTATATATTATAAATGTAAATTAATATTTCTCTATTTCGGAATGAACTTAAATTATTCACTTATTCATAATTTAGAATATTTTTTAAAGATATTTGATTTATTAAATCCCTTTATATCAACCATATCAAATTTTTAATTCTTAAAATAACTAGAGTTATGATAATTTTGATATTAAATTAGTTCAAACAAAATGATAACCGACTATATTATGCTCAATGACGTGTAATATTCAATCCAGTATATCTCCCACAATTAAGTTTTATATAGGATTAATATTTTAACTATTTACCTATAAATAAATTGATAAAATATAAAATGGATATAATCAATACTGAAGGATGAATTTTATATATCATGTTTTTGCAACATTTAAAAATATATAACTTTTAAATTAAAAATATTTTTTCTTGTATTAATATTTTTAAAGTGTATTGAAAGAATTTCAAAGTTAAATATGTGGCTATAAAATTTTCAGATAAATTTTCAAGTTAATAGATTTTCTAGGTAAATTCCAAGAAAATACTTCTAGCTAAACTTGAAATAATAAAATTCTCAAGTAAATTTTTAAGAAATAATTCAAGCTAATATTGCAGCAACAAAATTTCTAGGTAATTTTCTAACTAATAAAACATTCATGTAAATCCTCAAGAATAATTCCCGGCTAAAATTGCAGCAATAAAATATCCAAGTTAATCCCTAGGTAATAACTTCTTTAGGTAAATCCCCTAGAAATAATCCCCATCTAATATATCACAACAAAATTCCCAGGTAATTACCTAGGTAATAACATCCCAAGGTAAATCCCCAAGAAATAATCCCCAGCTAAAATCACAATAACAAATCCCCAGGTAGTTTCTTAAGTAATATAATTCCCATGTAAATCCCCAAGAAATAATCTCTAACAAAATCCGCAAGTAACATTACCTGGGGAACCTCCTACGAAATTTCAAAGGAAATAATTTTTTTATATTTTTCATTATTTACCTACGAAATTACCCACGAAGATGATACTTGGGGATTATTTTCCCAAATAAATCTCCAAGTAATATTTTGGCGCTAAATGACGCCAAATTTATTTGCGAATTTACCTGGGAAAATCAAATTGGCAGGTAAATATTCTAGAAACTAGGAATCACTAGATTTTCGTATGAAAATTTGCAGGAATTATCTGCGGAAAAAATTCCTAGGTAAAATTCCTATGTAATTTAAGGTTTTCTTATAGTGTAATATTTTTTTTACGTTATTTTGTAGTTTAACCTATTATAGTATGTTAATTACGTA